TTTTTCTACAGTAAATCAATTCTCATTTTCAACCATACATTTTTCAATAAAATAATATTTTTCATCACATCAATAATTTTTTCTTCTTTTTCAACCACACATTTCCCATCATATTACTATTCAAAATCAATTATTCCCCCAAAAATCTCTCCCAAACAAACTCTAGACTTTTTTCTATTTCAAACTAGCCACTTAGCATTAGTTATTGTTTCACTAGTCTTTTTGTTTAATTTACATTTCAGCCATTAATGGCAAAGCTGATGTAGCATGTTGTTCTATTAGTAACTTGGTAATTATTTATTGGGTTTTTAATTCAAATTCATCTAGAGTTTGTGTGGTTTTGTGTATTAGACCTTGAAAACGTCAAAATAGGGTCCAAGGGAGAAAAAATGAATCGACAACTCTAGACAGCACTAGACAACACTCGAGCGACAGGCATCAAGTTTTTTTTTCCCCCCGAAAGTTGACATCGGAGCGCGCCCAAGCAGCGTAGAGGCACCGCACGCCACTCGATTAAGGCTCGATTGGCGCTCACCTAGAGCAAGACCATCGCTCGAGTGTCGTGCCATTCCGAGGTTTCTTTATTTCTTGTTTTCCACGCAATTTATGACATAGTTTCCATCTTCTGGGCTATTATTATAGTTTGACATGTATCCCTATAAATAATAAACTCTTCTTTACAAGTTGTTGTATTACTATAAGTTAGACTTGTATAGGAACACAATATTATTGTAATTTCTATCTCCATTATAGTTGCATAAAATCTTCAATTTCTCTACCAAATTAAAATCTTGTTTCTTGTGTTGTTATTGTATGCGATAATACTTCATATCGTATCGTATAGCCTCGTCCCATTTTTAATGAGTGGTATCAGAGTTTTTGTTTGATTTGTTCAAAGTTTCTTTTTTCTTGATGGCAACCATGAAATATGACATTTCGTTTTTGGATTGCAATACTATATTCTCGTTTTGACAAGTGAAGATGCGAGCAGTACTCACTCAAATGGATTTGAATGATGCATTGTTGGGATTTGATAAGATACCCACAACTTGGACGACGAATGAGCAACAACGAAAAGATCGGAAGACACTTTTACAAATTCATCTTCATCTTTTGAATAATATTCTTTAGAACGTTTTGAAGGAGAAAACGGCAGCTGCGTTGTAGTTAAGTTAGAGCAGATGTGCATGAATAAGAGTCTAACTAGCAAACTGCATTTGAAGCAGTATTTGTATTCTCATCGCATGACAAAAGGTGGATCTTTGGAAGATCGTCAAGTTGTGTTTAAAGAAATCATTGCTAATTTGGGACTTTAAAGGTAAAGTATGATGAAGAAAAATTGACTTTAATTCTTTTGTGTTCATTATCAGATTCGTTAATCGCTTAGAAACATGATCTTGTATAGTTGTGATACTCTTACCATTGATGATGCTTTGATTTCAACTAAGAAGATGAAGCATCGTTTGAATCTAAAGCTAGATATGGAGAATACCTTGTTCATGATGGTCATGAAAGGGGCAGGTCGAAGTCTAATTTTAGTAATTTAATTTATTTTTATTAAAAGAAGAAATTACACATCAAGAGATATGGCAACAAGTTGCAGAACAAGAGTTTGTTTAGCATAGCTTGTGAAAAGCTAAAATGAGCTTTTGAGAAACAAAAGCTTATTTTGACACCATTTGCCTAATTTTATAAAAGTGCTTCTAGTCGTTAAAAGAATTTTTAAAGGAATCTGATTTATTGTAACTTCCTCCAAAAGCACTTTTGGAATAGAAAATGCTTTTAAAAATTAGTTTTCAAACAAAAATTAAGATAGTTTCATCCAAAATCTCTTCTACGAGAAGCAGAAGTAAAAGTAAAGATCATGTCAAACGGCAAGTTGAATCTAAGGTTAGAAATGGAGAAGACCTTATTGTTCATGGTGATCATGGAAGGGGCAAGTCGAAATCTAAATTCAGTAATCAAATTTCTTTTTATTGCAAGAAAAAAGGACACGTCAAAAGAAATTGCAACAAACTGCAGAATAAAGATAAGTTGATTGCAAATCAAAAAGAAAGGCAATCAAGTACTTAGGTAAAGCCGATGCCGTAAAGGATTATTTGAGTCATGGGAATCTTTTTGTTATTTCTGACGGATTCAACGTGTAATTTTTATATGTATCTCTATCAAGATTTGTTTGCAATGTATGAAACAATTTAAAAAGGTGTCATGGTCATGAGAAACAACGCACCTTGTCGACTAGCTAGTATTGGTAGAGTCAGATTTAATATGTTAGATGGTACATTTAGAACACTCGATCACATTCGACATGTTTAAGATTTGAAGAAAAATCTTATCTTATTGTCTATTCTCGATTCAAAAGGGTGTGAGTTTATCGGTGGATGTAGAGCTTTGAAAGTTTGCAAAGGTACCTGAGTTGTATTAGAGGGACGGAAAAGTCCCAGTTATACATCTTGCAAGGTCTTGTAGAATCATTAAAGAACAATCAGTGAAGGTCTAGTACCGATGTGGATATTCAGCTTGGTATAGTACCGTTGGGATTTGGTTTGAGTCTATGTTGAAGAATACAACTAGGTCGAGTTCAGAAGATATGAGTAATGCCACTTTACCGTCATCATATCCAATTACTAAGGATATACCCATTGGAGAAAGGTACGTGGAAGCTAATTTTGTTGCGCATGCTTTAAGTGCATTTGAAGGTGTTCAATCTAACAAGGAACCTTCTACAAAAACATTTAATGTTGATTCTATTTCAAGGGGTGTTTCGACCATATTTGGTAGATTTTAAATCATTTGTGATTTTTGAAAATTCAAGGTAATTATGCGGAGCAGTGATTGAATTTATTTATCCTATTCAGATATTGTAGAAGAGGTGGAGAATTTTTGGTTCGTTGAAAAAGTTAGTTTGATTCTCGTCGAAGAGTTACAATTCATTCCTTGCAGTCGAGTTTTTTCTCCAAGTGGAGAAATTTTAGAGTTTCGTTTGTTGCAGTGGAATTTCTATCATGGTGGAGATTGTTAAGTTTGTGATCCAAATTCATCTAAGATTTGCGAGATTTGGTGTATTGGACTTTGAAGACGGCAAAATAGGGTTCGAGGAAGAAAAAGGAGTCGATGACGTGAGATCGACTCTATCTCGACACTCTGGCTGCTCTAGCTTGGCGCTCGAACGCCAGGCATCAAGTTTTTTCTTGAAAGATGGCGCTGCCCAAGCAGCATCAGGGCGCTCGTGCATCCGTAGACCTTGCCTAGCGCAAGGCCGCTGCTCGAGTGCCACGTTATTTCGGGGTTTCCTTATTTCTTGTTTTTCACGCGACTTTTGACTTAGTTACCATCTTTAGAGCAATTATTAGGGTTTGACATATACCCCTATAAATAGTAGACTTTTCTTTACAAGTTATTGTATTGCTGCAAGTTATAATTATGTTGGAAAATAATATTGTTCTAATTTCCATCTTCATTATAGTTAAATAAAATCTCAATTTTCTCTGCCAAATTAAATTTTTGTTTCTTGTGTTCTTATTGTTTGCAATCAATGCTTTATATCGTGCCGTATAACCACCTCCCACTTCTAACATTATTCTATTGGTAACTTGGTAATCCTGTCCAAGTTAGCAAATTATTAGCCATCCAATATGTTAGACGGCCACATACTCAATTTACTTTTACCATCACTAATGTCATTGTATCAGCCGTTATCCATGTTGAGAATTTACTTAATCATGCACAGCGAAAATAAAACAATTTTCAATTCCCAAACGAGGATCTGCAATGTGTTTAGATAGAAACTGTGATGAGAATGATACATTTGATGAATTCCACAAACTCTTTTGCATTTTCTTGAACTCCAATATATCTATCACATCAATAATCTTATCTTCTTTTTCAACCACACATTTCTCATCATATCACTATTCAAATTCAATTATTCCCCCAAAAATCTCTCCCAAACAAGCTCTAGACTTTTTTCTATTTCAAACTAGCCACTTAGCATTAGTTATTGTTTCACTAAAGTCTTTTTGTTTAATTTCCATTTCAACCATTAATGGCAAAGCTGATGTAGCCTGTTGTTTTATTAGTAACTGGGTAATTATTTATTAGGTTTTTAATTCAAATTCATCTAGAGTTTGTGTGGTTTTGTGTATTAGACCTTGAAAACGTCAAAATAAGGTCCAAGGGAGAAAAAACGAATCGACAACTCTAGATAGCACTAGACAACACTCGAGCGACAGGCATCAAGTTTTTTTTTTTTGCCCCCCGAAAGTTGACATCGGAGCTCGCCCAAGCAGCGTAGAGGCGCCGCACGCCACTCGATTAAGGCTCGATTGGCGCTCACCTAGAGCAAGACCATCGCTCGAGTGTCGCGCCATTCCAAGGTTTCTTTATTTCTTGTTTTCCACGCAATTTATGACATAGTTTCCATCTTCTGGGCTATTATTATGGTTTGACATGTATCCCTATAAATAATAGACTCTTCTTTACAAGTTGTTGTATTACTATAAGTTAGAATTGTATAGGAACACAATATTATTGTAATTTCTATCCCCATTATAGTTGCATAAAATCTTCAATTTCTCTACCAAATTAAAATCTTGTTTCTTGTGTTGTTATTGTATGTGATAATATTTCATATCGTAT